TAATGTAAAGACTTCAATAAGGCAGTGGGGTATGGCTGAAGCAATAAGTGGGGTTTCTTGCTGTATACTATTGAAACTTCCAGCAGTTCTTTAATCAAAAGAACAGGTCTAGATTTCATTAAGTAAATGAAATAGAAGGTTTCTTTTAAGATCACTGCACAGGTGTTCATTATTATAAGAAGTTGCAGTGCAGAGCCAAGTTTTCATCAAAGGCAAAAATGAAGGGAGCAAGCCAACCAGCCCGGCCCCCTCCCACAGAGCACCTTGAGACAACTCCTGTATTATGTCTGTGGTTTCTCACTCAGCAGTGACTGACAGGCTGTAGTATAGGTAACGAAAATATTATAGCAGACCATATAGTGTGTTTTCACAATGCTATCAGGAGCAATGATCTTACAAGCTGCTCACATTGCTTGCAGGGAATCTGTTTAATTTATCTGGCTGCCAGTTTCCTAGATGTGATAGCAGCAACAGCCCACTGATATCTGTCTTTCAATAAGAACCGAGCATTTTCTGCATGTCTCCTGTCTCCGAGCGTGTGGAAGTTTCTCAGGGTTTTGCAATTACTGAGACACATTTTTAACAAGTCACTTTTAATGCAACATTTAAACTTTATGTTTTTAACGTGAACTTTACGTTCTGCTCCACAAAAGTAAGAACCGAATGTGATTTCATTAACTCTCTGGGTCTTATCCCGTAAGAGGATTGCTGAAGCAGTCAGTTCTACCTCTATACTTAAACTGGTCTGGTCTTAGAATCAGTGCTGGAGATAATTACAATACTTGGCATTTTAAATTATATGGGGTTGGTCCTCTCTAAATGAGACGTGTAATATATAAGTTTTTCTTTTCTTTTTTTTAATTCTAAATAACTCAGAAAAACCACATCTTACACATTCTAACCACATTCTATAGTGTAAGTATAAATAACATTTAACTTTCCTTAATGAAAGTAATTTAATAGAGGTTATTATAAATTCTAAATGACCCCACTTGTCACTCTAATAATAAAAACATTTTCTCTTTTTAATTATTGAGTCCTGCTTGTGTCTCTTTACAATGTTAACTGCGTCCTTAGCCTCTAAGAATAACTTTGTGTGGATGGCCAAGTGCTGCGCAAGTCAACATGAAGAAAAACAGAAGAGAAACTCTGTCTTTGAAAGATGATGATGAATGAAAATGGCTTGGGTTTCAGAGAAGGGAAACTGAGAAAGAAAGAAAGAAAGAAAGAAAGAAAGAAAGAAAGAAAGAAAGAAAGAAAGAAAGAAAGAAAGAAAGAAAGAAAGAAAGAAAGAAAGAAAGAGAAAAACAGGAGAAATGTTGTTCTATCATCGTCATCGATATGTTTCTGCATGTGGGTTCCCTTAAAGGCCAAATGAAAAACAGAAGAGAAACTCTGTCTTTGAAAGATGATGATGAATGAAAATGGCTTGGGTTTCAGAGAAGGGAAACTGAGAAAGAAAGAAAGAAAGAAAGAAAGAAAGAAAGAAAGAAAGAAAGAAAGAAAGAAAGAAAGAAAGAAAGAAAGAAAGAAAGAGAAAAACAGGAGAAATGTTGTTCTATCATCGTCATCGATATGTTTCTGCATGTGGGTTCCCTTAAAGGCCAAATGAGGACAAGTGTGTGTGTGTGTGTGTGTGTGTGTGTGTGTGTGTGTGTGTGTGTGTGTGTGTGTGTGCACGCAGCTGTAGAGAACATATATAAGTGTGCAGCTCAATTCCTGTTTTTATGAGAAGCAGTAAAAAAAGCCCTGTTATCCCCAAAGTGGCACAAGCTGTGACCTAATGCCACATCTAGTGAGCCACTACACACAGAGAGGGATCAGCTACTGAACGAAGCCATTTAAATCTCAGCCTGATGGATATGCCGTCCTAAATTAAAACCATATGAAAGACTCTGATGGAAGATTATCCCGATCCAGATTATACAGAAACAGAGGAAGAAAACGATTCAATGCAATTAGATGTAATTGGAGAAACTGGAGCTAGGGTAGGAGAGCTAATTAAAGGAGCACGAACCTGCGTTGTTTATGGGAAACTGTTGCACTTTGCGCCATGTGAAAAGTTGCTGCACGTGTTTAACCTGAAACAAAAGCACTGGCCTATATGAAATGTGGTGATTTAATCCTGCTTAAGAATGCAGTGACCGCACACCTACAGAAAGAACACACACAGAAACCACTGAGAAAAGTAATATGCACATTCATCTATGAGCTAAATCTCCCTAGGCCTGTAATTTCCTGGCCGCACATGCTGAAAAAGAGACTCAAAAATACATCTTGACTGAGTTACAGTCTTATTCCTATCTGCCCTCCTCGTCTCACACATTATCATAATTAACTCTGTCAACGTGAGGATGACAATGTGCTTACAGTTAGGGTCTTCCAGTTTTTACTTTTTTCCCAGCAAATAAACGCAAACAGCTACTTCATGCTGGCAGGTTTGACATCAACCTATCCCAGTTACAAGAGCCTCAAGGATGTGAAACTCCCCCTTTATTTAGAGAACGCTTTGGAAAAGCGGTATTCCCAAAAGACTTTTTTTAAAAGCCGCTCCAGAGGTATGTGGAAAATAGTTTATCCCAGGTTGCTGGCTGTGACTGTGCCCTACAGAAGGAAATTTCCCTTCCAGAGAGTTCGGTGGTTTGTGCACAGTGTGTTCCAGCATAAATCATAGACTAATATATCTCTGAGAGAGATGGCTGTGCTCTGGCATTTGCTCAGTTTGGAAACGGTGGAATATTTACCCTTTTGAAAATGGCACTGCCAGATGTTACATGAAATATGAAGCCCATAAAGTGCGATAAAAGCGTGTGAGATCAACAGATGGTAACTTTACAAGCTGCGAAAGCACAATATGATATACAGCTGGCCATGCGTGAAGTGAGATGACACTATAGAAAATAGGAAGAGTGAAAACAGGAAGTCTAGTCAGCATATATTCTCTTTAACCCCTACTACGTCACACACTCAGAACCTCAGAGCACTTCACTTCACTTTCTGAATAGGAAGTCTGCAACAGGATATGCTCCTCTGTATGATTATAACATTAGATTGTAATTATGGGATAAATTTACTTAAACGTTTATGGAGTATAAAATGTACATTTTTAAACCCCACAAAGCAAAGCAACCACAGTTTAGTTAGACTTAGCAGGACATTTGGGAATGTCAAATGATAATATTAAATGCATTAGCTTGCATTATTAAAAGCCTAACTTCCAAGTTGCCCTGATGTGCCTCCACACTGGTAGTCATTTCTGATTACGGTCGAGCCCAATTGCCTCCTTCACGTTGTGCATGTGCACAGAAAATGTCAGTGTCAACCAAACTGGAATGCAAATGTGTGTGCAGGATGGTATCTGTGTGCGTTTTCACAACTGAGGTTAAACCCACGGTAAACATCCTGACCTGTGAATTTCAAAAACTGCTTCCTGAATCTTGCGTTTTAATATCGTATGAAACACTTCATACGAGCTACATTGTAACACATACAATTAGCGTCCAGCATGTTGCACAACCTAAAAGATGAAAAAGAAGAAAAAAACAGCAGTTTGGCTGCAGATGCACTATCGATTGCAAATGCTAAAATGTCTAAAGGAAGGAAGAATATGAGCAACTTCCTATATTTCTTTCTTGCAACACTCAAAGAATAAGTATGCAAAAAAAAAAAGGTGGGGGGGCAACTTTGTCCTTTTTGCAATCACAAACACACACTGAAACTATTAGAAAGCACACAAAAACAGTTATTCATCTCATCCGAGGGAGCGTGGGGGAAGGCAGGCCTGCAAAGAATGTCAATTTTAGAAATGATAGATCTCCTGTTAACGAAGCAAATAACTGCAAGCACCATAATTACAGTGCAACTGGAGCCATGCAAATAAACCATCAAGGCAAATTTGAATAAATTGCACCAGAGGAAGCACACTGTTTCATGCATTGTTTAGACATAATCTACTGTTCAGTTTATTTTGTATATAGTTCAATCAATCAATGCCAAATTCAGACAGCAGTCAAAACTATTTAAATATTAAGGTGTCTATTAGTGACACAGCATCTTGCAGATGTAGACATGATTACCTTCACAGACCTGTGAATGTATATGCAGTTTTTATTTACAGGGTATCATACAGGACTTAACTGTACTGCAGCAATATCAAAACAAATGGACAGAGGACGTCAGTTTACAAGTTGTATTTGGAGAGAAAGGCATTAATCTGAGCCATTACACCTGTTCCTTGTAGCTTGGTTTAAACACAAACAGACACAGGATACGTTCACATCCTTCACTGTTCTGGATGCCTACAGCCTTTTGGTGGTTGGGCCAGGTTAGTGTAGTCCAGCTGGATCTGTCACCCTTCCTCACAGAAAAGCCTATAAATGGCTCTGGCACAGCAATAGAGCCTTTTCAAATGTACTGGATTCTCCAAAACAGCACAGCCTGACACACTAGTCAAAACTAATTTTCACTTGTAGGTTATGCTGTGACAACTAACCTAACAAACGCAGACAGTGACATATAGCCATAATAATTCGATGACTAATGTTGTGACTTGGCAATACATTTTTGATAAAGGAAATGGGAAATTTCGCTCCACCAAAATACATAAACCAGCTTTCCTTCTGAGGAAACCCTCCTAAAGGAGTCTTGAGCCGGTGACGGTGAATTGAAAACTTAAAGATAGCCTAACAGCACCATCTAGTGGAGAAATCCGACAGGGACGTTTTTACGAGTAAGGCAACCTGCAGAGCCAAACCTCTAGGATGTATATAGTTGTTTTAGGCTGTGAATAGAAAGTTATTATCATTTATCTATTTTTATTAAGATATATGAATAGCAACGAAGCTAGTTTGCTTCTTAATTATCTAACTGTTTATATGTACGGTTAGTAAATGCCGAGGTTTATCACAAGTGCGACAACGCGAGCACGGCCACGAGGTGAGCTGCCATCGCCTGATGCGCGTGAGACAGTAGAGTCGATTCCCGCATGCGCAATGCGCTCTGGCTTCCCTGCTTCCAGGAGATTGGGAGAAGAAGATGCGGCTGAGCGGCCGGCACGGACCGACTGCTTAACGGGCAAACCTTAGTCATAGGTTTCCACTTGCCTTTTCTTTTGTTAGTTTCTTGCCAAATTTGCTGCTTGATGTCGAATTTGAACAGGAGCAGCGAATGAACTGATAAGCTGTAAGGGCAGAAGAAGAAGAGGGGGAGCGAAACAGTTACTGACAGGAGTTGGGCATCATATTGCCACCGGATGTCATTATACGCTTTTAAATATCGAGGACGTAAGTAAATGCATCTTTAAAAACTATTGCATGAGTTTTAAGTGTTATTGTAATGCGGTTTTGAGTATACTTTGTTCTTGTGAGTTTATTATACATGAAAATTAAACATTTGAGCTTTAATTTTGGAGTTACTTAGAGAGGGGACGAGCCTTTTGTACACCAGAAATAATGTATTTAACGCTGGCGGATGAAGAATCACATTTCTATGGCTTGCAAGCTACAAAGAACTATAGTATCAGCCCTCAGTGCCTTTCAGCTACCACCTGTTACCACCATCCGAATAAAGCTGACTGGAGTAAATCACTTGTTGGACCCCTTTTAAAATAAAAAGGGCGATGTGTTTATTCTTTTAAATCCCCATCATTGCAAAAATGACAGTATCACTGCTGTGCAGTGTGCAGGTTGTATTGTCTGTTTTCCTTTCTTTCTTTATTTTTATTTTTTGCGTATGTCATAGCACATATAGGCAGATAACCATCCGGCAGGCTGTCAAATGGTTGGGCATTTGTTCTTAGGCCTACATCTAAGCTCGTTGATCAATTGAATGTAAGCCTCTTGAGCGGTCAGGGCGAAACCTGCTGACACATGCGCCCCAGTCTTTTTGTTCTTGCACAGACCCGGTTAACCCTCTCTTATCTGATCTCCCTCCGCGGCCCTCTGCTGCTCAACTAAACCCTGGACCCTGGATTGGATGTGATGCATCCTGCAAATAAAGTTATCCTGATAAAGCTATGAGCAACTCTGTGCTCAACACTCAACACTTTCCTTCCACTGAGCGCTCACTGGTGGGCAGTAGTTACTGTACACTTAGCAATTAATTATTTAAAGGGCAGCTGATCTGACGCATAGGATTAATTATAGATTAATATAGAGACACCTGCTCCCAGCTCTCAAGTGGATAAAAAGGGTTTGTTATGTAATGCTGCCTTATCAATGGGGTGCAAATCGCCCTCTGCATTATTACTGTCTCATATGTGTGCGTTTTTTATTTGTGTGCCCATTATTACTCAGTATCCTCCATCCATTTTCCTGTAGTTATCTGTAACTGATGGGAGTGCCCAGCAATCATAATAATCAACTTCCTGTGGAGGTTTGTGGTGAATAGGTGACTAATGTGCACTTTCAATGGAGAAAAGAGTGAAAAGAAAAAACTTCATCATGCATTTATCATAACATGCATTTAACATATTATTTGAGCTGTTGAAATGTTTGACTTTAGTCCAGACATCGTTTACCAATACAGTGTAACTCTAGCTGATTTTGATATTCTGCTCTTCTCTCTCTCTCTCCACCACAGTGTAATCTAGACCAAAGGCAGAGCCATGGAGGTTGTAACGCATCTTGTGAATGACACTGTAGAGTTTTACAAATGGAGCCTTACTATAGCAGGTAAGCTAGGATCTCTTGCTTGGAAACAACACGCAATAGGAGCTTTCACTACATACGCACATCTGTGGGGTGGCAACATGGTTTGTTCAACAGTGGCTGCATAATCATAATAATGGATTATTATAACTTCACCAAAAGTGATCGATGTCTCTTGTTTTCATCATCATGCAGTCGTGTGTATGTGTAGATGTGCTTGCTGATGGTATATGGAGTGAACAGAAAACTGCAAAAGTAAACATACTTGATGCTTTGCAAGTGTGTTTACAGCTACGTGCATGTATCAAGTGAAAGAGGAACTGCAAAACTAAACTTGTCAGCTTATTTTTGAGCCGGGAAGAGTATTTTCACCTTCAACTTACATCCTCTGTACTGTTTTTATAGAGCTAATAAATGAATGCCAAACTATAACTTCTGTAGCTTGTGTTCTTAGTAAAAAATAAATAATAAAATTAATAAAGATTATGAGGGTTTGTGGATCAACTTTACAACATATGTTTATTAATGCTTCAGTTGAATCTATCCTGATATTTACAGCTGTAACTTGTGTTTTTCTTCCCCACCCTTAAAATTAACTGTAACCCCTTTACCATCAGACAAGAGGGTTCAGCACTGGCCCATGATGTCCTCTCCCTTCCCTACTCTGGCTATCAGCTGCCTGTACTTGATCTTCCTGTGGGCAGGACCTAAATACATGCAAGATCGCCAGCCCTACACACTCAGGAAGACCCTCATAGTCTACAACTTCAGCATGGTGGTCCTCAACTTCTACATCGCCAAAGAGGTGAGTGCCATTGTAGCCTTTGAAGGACCGATCATAGCTTAAAGTGGAGGTACTAGATGCTTAAAAGAGCCACGATATGGTGCTTGGCAGATTCTGGGCAGAATCTAAATTGAAAATACATTTTTTGTCCATCAAACTTACAAACAAACATAAAAAAATACTTTACAAAGCACTATATATTTTGTATATACATGAAATATACCTTAGAGCTTATTAAAGGAAATGGATGTATGACACAGATTCTGCAGGTCTGTGAATTCAGTTTCCAGCTTTAAAGATTGTGGATCTAATCAAATGAACATTTTATTTCTTTCCCTAATAAAGAGAAAATATTTCAACTTAATCTTACTGTCAAATAACCATTATTTGCACAAGTCAGAAGCGGCTGCAGTATTTTGTGGCTACCTTTTTTGATGTTAGCAATAATGCTCATATAACATGTTTGCAGTGAAGCCCACAGCATGAACATCTGTCACTGAATGCACCAAATAACAGCATTTCAGTCCGCTCAGAGTTTTCAAAACTCTTACCTGAGGGGGTTTAATGTAGCTTCCTTGATCACCCATTTTCTCTGGTAACTCCATTACGTGGATGGAACTGCCTTTACTCCCTACTAGAAGAACCTGGAGGGCAGCCAGTAAGATTAGTGTGGAAACCTTTGTATTGAATAAATAAAGACATTTTTAATTTGGTGCGTCATATATCCAGTCAACTAGAAGCATAAGACGTAGGAGAAATTCGATTTTTGGATATACATATTTTTTAACTGTCTATGTGACTTTAAATGAGTAGGCATCATATTTAGTGATTTACATTACCAAAGTCTTGTATTGCATACATGGCAATGCATCTGCAAAACATGTTCAATTCTACAAGAAAAGAAAGTGGGGAGATTCACGTGAATTATAGGAGCACATAGGCTCTTTCACTAATTTGATCTTTTTGAGTCAAATTTGTGTCTGCTTACATTCTTCATGTATTTTTGGATAAACTGAAGGTCCTATCTGCACAGAATCTCATGTTCAGTCCTGCTCTCTGTGTGCTGTTAATGTTTTAGCAGTGCTTACGTGAAAAAGGGTAATTGAACAGGAGTGACTTGCAGTAGTTGTCGGTCTCTCCAGATCACAGGCAGGATCTGTTGTTCTGCTCTCATCCTTGTTCCGACTTTGTGTCCTCTCATCAGCTCCTACTAGCCTCCAGAGCAGCCGGGTACAGCTACCTCTGTCAGCCTGTAAACTACTCGAATGATGTCAATGAAGTCAGGGTAGGTTCCCTCGCACGCACAGACATCTAAAAAGCAATCTGTGAACATCCTTCGCACACAGTTTACCTCTGCACTGGACATAGTTAGGGTAAAATAACATTAATATGACACTTTTTAGTATGACAATTTTTTTACTACTTTTACTAATCTTTTGTAAAGCAGTGGGGCTGCAGTATTGACACAGGAAAGAAGAGCCACATTTCTTGACTGTACATATATCACTATAAGCATGAAGGAGAGCGAGGGCTGAGAGATACTGTATATTTCTAATGATTTCAGCACAAAGAGGGTTTGGCTCAACACTCAGAGGGGCGGGACCAGTCAGTCTCACCACCCTTAAGCTCCGCCCCATCTCCACCTTTAGGCTTCACGCTTTCATGATGGCCTTAAGGATAAGAGATGCCAGAGCAAGATGGCTTAGAGAGCAACCTTGTGTGCTGTGTGTCACAAGGGGAGTAATTTGTACTGCGACAGAGTTGAATAGGATAACAGAGAGAGAGATTTTGACATGCTGTGTTAGTATAAAGGAGTTACTAAAAATATTTGATTTGCTGATCTCTCCAAAGATCCTCAGTTGCTACATTTTTCTGTCATCTAAAGATTTTCTATTAGTACAAAGGAAACTCAGGCAAAGAATCTGCTTCATTATTTGTGTACTAGGAAGAATACCACGCTAGAGATCACCACTAAAGAAATATTAATATATATTGTACCAATAACTATGTAAATATATAATTTACATAGTTTACAATAATGTTATTTTATGTGGGATTCTGATGTTGTCTACAGTTGCCATTGGCTTTGTTTACAGTGATCTTAACTCCATGTAATCATTATTTGCAGAACATTTGTTACCAGCAATGTTTCACTGAAGAAACCTTCAGAAAAGGAATCAGAAACAGGCTGTAAATAGTTAAATATGACCTACATAGGACCTTAACCTCCTCCGGAGGTCTTGTTTAGGATGCAAGGGATGTAACAGGTCTGTGTTGAGAAGAGTGAAATATAAGATGCAAAAAAGTCAGAGAAGTCAAATGTAATGTCCCATGCATTGTCTCAAAAGGTTTATTGACTTATGTGACGGATTCACCTCGGTGTGCTGTGATAATTCACCTTGCCTCATTTTATATCTTTAGATAGCCTCGGCTCTTTGGTGGTACTACATCTCCAAAGGAGTGGAGTTCCTGGACACTGTCTTTTTCATACTGAGGAAGAAGTTCAACCAAGTCAGCTTCCTCCACGTCTACCATCACTGCACCATGTTCATCCTCTGGTGGATTGGAATCAAATGGGTTCCCGGTGGACAATGTGAGTCAAAGAATCAGACTAGAGCTTGTCTTTGTACTTAGAGCTGGAAAATAGGCACATTACGGCTGTTTAGTAATAACACAGCCACCATCACCTCTGATATAAATGTAACTGTTTCCACAGCATTTTTTGGTGCAACCATCAACTCTTCCATCCACGTCCTCATGTACGGGTACTATGGCTTGGCTGCCTTGGGACCTCAGATGCAGAAGTACCTCTGGTGGAAGAAATACCTCACCATTATCCAGATGGTAAGTGGCACCTTTAGGGATGCATCATATATCAAATAACTTGACGTTATTGATTGCGAAAGTTTAGCCAACAGTTTTTTATGCTAACATGGTGTGATTGGTGTTTTTTGCCTCTCCGAATTACCTGAGCTAATTGTGAGGACAATGAAACACACTTTGGGTTTCACTTGCCTCAGAGTGATTATTAGTGACAATGGTTATCATCTAAAGATCCACTGATCTGCTAATATGTGAAGCCCCTAGATATAGTTTGCACCTTCATCCAGTTATAATAAAGTTTACGCAGAAACGCAGAGCTTATGAAGCTAATAATGAATTGCTATAAATGTGCTACAAATGAGCGCTTAATTAATTTTTTGCTTGTATTTAATTAACTATATCTGAATTTGTTGAACTCTTACAGACTTAATTAGGCCTTTCCATCAGCAATGAGTCTTTTGAAGTCTGCCACATTTATGACTGAAAATTGGTTGACAGTGTATTCTTTATTCCACACATAGGGAATATTAATAAGATAGGATAAGACAAGATGACCTTTATTAGTCCCACGTGTGGGAAATTTGTTTTGTTACAGCAGTGAACAGTGCAAAGTTGCATAGAAAAATTAGAGAAAAAACACTGGAATAATATATCTATGAGATACTGTACACAATAATAAAATACTATATACAATCGAATAAAATAGAATACAAATGCTAGATACAATTGATTATAATACAACGATGCCAGAAAAGAGTATTGCACTTAGTGTTATTGCTATTGCACATGTGTGGATGTGTGTGTTTGATCAGTTGAAGTCTTTGTTGTGGAGTCTGACAGCAGTAGGGAGGAAAGACCTGCGAAATCTCTCCGTCCCACATCGTGGGTGCCACAGCCTGCCACTGAAGGAGGCAGGCAGGTTTTAATATAATGTTATATTAAAAAATCAACTTTTAAATCTGTAACTATATTTTCCTCTTAGATCTTCACATTTTAAAGATTAATACAATTGGGTATCATATCAGTATGAAACATTATTTAATTGTTATAAACTTTTAATATAGTGATAATAGGCTTTTAGGAAATGTTATTAGCATTGATTCTAGAGGTTCCATGGTGTAGTAGCGAACACATTAGTCTAGCACAAGGTGGATCCCTGGTTTGATACTGCGAAGAGATGCAATCTCAGGGGATCACAGGCTAGTCCCAGGTCCCAAGACTGGATAAATTGGAGGGTTGCATCAGGAAAAGCATCCGATGTAGAATTTGTGCCAAATCAGATATGCTGATTCATCCACCGTGGTGAACCACTGGGATTAAACTTGGGAACAGGAGTGAAGTCAGCCCTCTGAAACAGCTGTATGCATGAGAAACACAAATATGTAGGCTTTAGTGTTAAGAAGTTAATCTGACAGATCTTCGTTTGTTACTGATTTCTGCCTGTTTCAGTGATAGCTCTGATTTTAGTTGGTAGTTGTATATTCAAAAATTCAGACTGCTTCTTCTGTGTCTTTTTAATCTTTTTTTCTTACATACTCACCAGATCCAGTTCCACGTAACCATCGGCCACGCTGGCCACTCCCTCTACACCGGCTGTCCGTTCCCCTGCTGGATGCAGTGGGCTCTGATTGGCTACGCCGTCACCTTTATCATCCTCTTCGCCAACTTCTACTACCACGCTTATCGACGCAAGCCTGCCTTTTCTCGGAAAGGAGGGAAGCCCATAACAAACGGCTCCTCTGTGGTGGCTAACGGTCATAGCAAAGTGGAGGAAGAGGAGGAGGACGATGAGGAGGACAACGGAAAGAGGCAAAAGAAAGGAAGAGCGAAAAGGGAGTAAAGCAGGAAACGGGGCTTGCTTTGCGAAAAGCAGACAGTTATTTTATAGGCCAGAGAAAGAGGGAGGGGAGGGGAGGGATAAACAGAGTTCAAACCAGACGATCATCCCTGCAAATAAAGTGGATGGATGTGATTAGGGACCAACTTGATGAAGTGAATGGTTAGCAGTGTGTGTTCACTGGGTGTGTCTGTAAATGGTTCTGGTTTTGAGTGGACGAGAGTGTCGGTTGTCTCCATGACAGCTTTCTTTTGTAATTAAATCCAGATAAGAAAAGAAAATTGCTGTTCGTGTAGGCCCACCCCCCCGTTCCTCTGTCCAGCTCTGTTTTGGACCATAGTAGGACCAAAATATTAAAGGAACCGCATCCTGCTCAGCATCCACTTACTTTCAACCGGAATCCACCTCCAACTTTTGTACTCTGGATTCCAGTACTGTTTAAAAGCTTAATAGTGTTTAATAAGCTAAATTAATTTATTTTCTAGTGCTTTCAATGAGTATCAATTCATTTGGGGCAGGGATAGCTCAGTAGGTAAAGTGGTCGCCCCATGATCGGAAGGTCAGCGGTTCGAATCCACTTAACGGCTACCCTGAGGTACCCCTGAGCAAGGTACCGTCCCTACACACTGCTCCCCGGGCGCCTGCTTAGTGGGCTGCCCACTGCTTCACTGAGTGAATGGGTCAAATGCAGAGAAAAACAAGTAATTTCCCCATGGGGATCAATAAAGTATCCATTATTATTTAAACTGTTAACAAGGGGAAAAAACATTCAAAACTCTGATCTTTCTTTTTTTTTCTTTTTTGGTTTGGGGGGTAATCATTGTTTACAAATACTTAGTTTACCTTAACATGGCTAGCAAAGAAACAAAAAAACATGTCTCTACATTATCTGCCATCAACTCTTTGCAGTCAGCTGCACCATCTACCAGACTTCAAATTTCACTGTCTTCTCTGATTTTATTTACCTGTGCTGCACTTACAGAGTGATACACTATTTTCTTTATGTGCTTTGTGGATTAAAAACCTGGTTTTAAATACTTTTGAGGGGGGCGGTGAAATTGTAGGTTTTTTTTTATAGAGTCACGCTAATTTATGATTATCTTTGTTATAATACACATTTCTGTGGGTCGTTCTTTCTTTTTGCTGTGCAATGTAGCTGAGGTGCAAGAATAAGAGATTGATGTACAGCTCAGTATTGTCTCACTGCCACGTAGAACGGACGGGGAAAGTCGTCTTGAGAAGAGCTTCGTCTTTTTTTTTTTAAGGAAAAGGATTGTCTTATTAAAACAGAAGTGACACAGCTTTCCCTGGCTGCACATATAACTGAAATAAAGACAATGTCAGCACCCCATAGGTTGCGTTTGTGTGTCTTTGTGCTAGTTTTGGCATTAGCGTCTGTGCATTCAGCTGCAAATCATCTGCTAAACTACCAGAAGCTAGTCTTCCCATCCTCCAACTTTCTCCCTTTGTCCTACTTACTTCATCTCTCCTATTTCCATCTGTACAATGGAAAGAGCTCTTATAGGTGAGTGTGTGTGACAGAGAGAGAGAGATAGGCAGAGGTAGGATGTGTGTTTGGCCTGCTCAGACAGATCTGCCCTAATCTTTGGGGGCAAATTGGCTTTAGCTCCAAAAGAGCTTATTTCCACGTCACTCCATAGGTTACTCAGGAAAGCGGGTCACTGAAAGAGAAGCCTTCACTAATCTGCCACCAGGTTGCTACTGCAACTCTCAAACTGCGTGGATTAGTTCATATTTGGCCTTGAAAATAGTTGATTTACAATGTGAACCATGTGTATTTAACAACTTCAAGATATTTGAAAAGAAATAGTAAATTCATCAGCCTGAATTATAACTCTGCCATTCTTGTGACACTGCATGATCTTTCCACACACTCACATTAATTTTTTTCATCATCCTGTAACAAGCAAACTACAGCCCACTCTTCTTTCGCCACACCATGAGTCACTAATGGCATCTATTCAATTATTTAGCCCCTATCATTTTCCTCGTCCATGCCTTTTCCTGTGTCCCGCAGCCTCTGCTCATTCTCAGGCCGTCATTTGTGGCTGCATGTCTGGAAAGTCAATTGCAATTCTTTTGCATCCTTTGTTGTATTTTTGCAAGTTCTCTTTATTTCCTCACATAATTTTCCCACATTCTTATCCCTCCTTCCTAGCATACATGCCCTACTCCTAAACTCCTACTTTCTTATAATGGTATACCTGTGGCTATTTTTATCTTTTTTTTTTCCACTGATGTCGTTAGCAAGGAGGTGGAAGGTTGTAGATGTGAATGATAGATTGGGTGAGATGATTGAGAGGAAGTAAATTTATCCTCCTTGGGGACACAGAAGGATCTAAGCCAGCGACTAATAGGATTGCAGAATTGCCAAGGCTTTTCTATCAAAGGCATTTAGCACAGGACACTATAACCTGCATGCTTGCTGCTGTTGCTGCAGGAAGCAGAAAAAACATGTATGCACATGCATAAAATTGACCACTATTGCTACAGTTTGATGTGGAACTTAAAACATATGCATTCATAAAAACACACTGCTGCTTCCTGAATGTCTTCTTTCCTTTTGTGGCACACACAAACCTTTACACAAAGACAATAGAAGTTGTAGCTGGGAGACCCAAGTGGGCCAGTTTGCTGGAAGGGTGAAGGGTCAGTTTTCCGGAGGGGGTTAACTTAGACCCCCGGAGAGCAGTCATTTTGGTTTTCTACCTTAGACCCCCGCGGAGTCATCATTTTGCGTTTCTACCTTTAAAAGCCGGAGAGCAGTCAGTCAAATGCTGGAGTCATTCATATGTATATTAGGTCGTTACCTAGGAATTCTGGAGGGAGGGGAGTGGGGGTGAGTGATTGAGGGGGTGGGGGAGTGGAGTGTTTCAGTTTGCCATCTTAGGGAGAAATCAACACATGTCCTTTGTATGTCCTTTGTTGCTGACATTTATTGATGAAAACAGTACAAAAAACCAACCATTTGTACACATATTTACAAATAATGATAAAAAGTGAGTGAGTACATTTCAACATTTTCAGCAATCACTCACAATCCTGGCACTGCCACGGTATCTGTCGTCTGCATTTACCACATGTGTACCTGTAGCAGTGAACACATCGCACAGTGGCCTGATTTTTTTTGCATCTGTGTTTGACCTGACACGTGGCCCTTTTTCCAGGGCTCGGTGTGGAGTGGCATACCTGAGTGGTGAATTCATTGCGATCTGTCTGTCTAGTGGATTGAGGAATTTCCCTGCGAATCTTGTTGACTGTGCCGAGGATGGTGGTTTTCCGTCCAAGAAGTTTTTGCGCAAGTGAAAGCGATGTGAAGAAATTGTCCGTGGTAACATTTCTGCCCTTGTCTAGGAATGGTTCCATCAGCCTCATTACTACATTTTCAGAAAGTCTCTCCCCAGTGGGACGATTGGGGTCCTTGCCAAGATATGGGAAGACATTGCAAATGTACTTGGATTTTAGGTCGCAGGCCACCCAAAACTTGATCCCAAACTTGTCCGGTTTACTTGCAATATACTGCAGGAAACAGCACCGAGTCTTTGATGGGAAAAGCTGTTCATCAACGGTGATATGTAGACCAGGGTTGTAGCACGTGATGCAGTTGGTGACAAATGATCCCCACACACTGGAAATTGCAGCGAACTTATCAGTCTTTGCTCGATCACTGCGGGTGGACTTGTCATCAAAGCGTAGGTGTTGCATGATGTCTTGGAAGCGGTTTCGTGCCATAGTTCCAATTATCTGTGGGTTTCCCAGGTTTGCTGACCAGCAGTCATTTACCGATGGAACCCTGTAAACCCCCCGCAAGATGACAATTGCAATAAATGCCATTAGTTCAGGGAGGTCCATGAACCAATGAACATGCTCCGTTTGCTGTGCATGTTGAATAGTCCATTCTTGAATGCTATGAAGCATGTCAAGAGTGATGAAACACAGGAAGCTCTGAAGGCGACTCGAGATACTTCTCCTGGCCTTAGCCGTTGGCTCTCCATCTGCAGCGTACGCTTCTATTGGGGTGAAAGGTAGTGTAAATGACTGCTGGTCAGCAAACCTGGGAAACCCACAGATAATTGGAACTACAGGGAGTGCAGAATTATTAGGCAAGTTGTATTTCTGAGGAATAATTTTATTATTGAACAACAACCATGTTCTCAATGAACCCAAAAAACTCATTAATATCAAAGCTGAATGTTTTTGGAAGCAGTTTTTAGTTTGTTTTTAGTTTTAGCTATTTTAGGGGGATATCTGTGTGTGCAGGTGACTATTACTGTGCAGAATTATTAGGCAACTTAACAAAAAACAAATATATACCCATTTCAATTATTTATTTTTACCAGTGACACCAATATAACATCTCCACATTCACAAATATACATTTCTGACATTCAAAAACAAATCAGCGACCAATATAGCCACCTTTCTTTGCAAGGACACTCAAAAGCCTGCCATCCATGGATTCTGTCAGTGTTTTGATCTGTTCACCATCAACATTGCGTGCAGCAGCAACCACAGCCTCCCAGACACTGTTCAAAGAGGTGTACTGTTTTCCCTCCTTGTAAATCTCACATTTGATGATGGACCACAGGTTTTCAATGGGGTTCAGATCAGGTGAACAAGGCGGCCATGTCATTAGTTTTTCTTCTTTTATACCCTTTCTTGCCAGCCACGCTGTGGAGTACTTGGACGCGTGTGATGGAGCATTGTCCTGCATGAAAATCATGTTTTTCTTGAAGGATGCAGACTTCTTCCAGCTCTGAAATATGGCCAAACTGGTGGCAAGTGGCATCTTGGCAGCTGCACGCTTGACTTTTCTCAGTTCATGGGCAGTTATTTTGCGCCTTGGTTTTTCCACACGCTTCTTGCGACCCTGTTGACTATTTTGAATGAAACGCTTGATTGTTCGATGATCACGCTTCAGAAGCTTTGCAATTTTGAGACTGCTGCATCCCTCTGCATCCCCTTCTCATTACAGAGATGCACATCACCTAATATGCTTAGTTGGTAGTAGGCTTTCGAGCCTATACAGCTTGGAGTAAGACAACATGCATGAAGAGGATGATGTGGACAAAATACTCATTTGCCTAATAATTCTGCACTCCCTGTATGGCACGAAACCGCTTCCAAGACATCATGCAACACCTACGCTTTGATGACAAGTCCACCCGCAGTGATCGAGCAAAGACTGATAAGTTCGCTGCAATTTCCAGTGTGTGGGGATCATTTGTCACCAACTGCATCACGTGCTACAACCCTGGTCTACATATCACCGTTGATGAACAGCTTTTCCCATCAAAGACTCGGTGCTGTTTCCTGCAGTATATTGCAAGTAAACCGGACAAGTTTGGGATCAAGTTTTGGGTGGCCTGCGACCTAAAATCCAAGTACATTTGCAATGTCTTCCCATATCTTGGCAAGGACCCCAATCGTCCCACTGGGGAGAGACTTTCTGAAAATGTAGTAATGAGGCTGATGGAACCATTCCTAGACAAGGGCAGAAATGTTACCACGGACAATTTCTTCACATCGCTTTCACTTGCGCAAAAACTTCTTGGACGGAAAA